CCAAGCGGGCAAGCACCAGAAAGGCACATTTCGATATTTCATAGATCTGGAGCTCCCTCTAAAGACCAATATCAATATGATTACTTTCATTCAGAGGTCTTCAAGGGTACGCCTAACGCCTGGAGACCTCCCTTTCTCCGTGGTTGAGTCCCCTTCCCCCTTCCCCCTGCTTGGCCGTCCGTCCCTCCTCCAGCGCTCTGTGTGGGCAGTGCGCGAATTATGTGGCTGAGTGTATTGTGGCCCCTTGGCTTGCAATCCAAGCTCTCAGGGGATAGTGTGCTCCTGGAGGGCCAAGCAGAGGCCCCTTTCCCCCAGAAAGGTCCCTCTTGAGGCCTTCAGCATCCCCCCCGCAGAGCCGCTGCTAGGCGTTATCTCACAGCGTTCATTGAGCCATTCCATTTATATATGTGTATATATATGACGTTTTTCCCATACTCTTCGGTGGGGAGGTGGTTCCCTTGCCTCCGCGCGCGTCCGACCCTCGATTGCGGGACCGTGTTCGTGCACCCGCAATCACACGGCCAGGGGTGACGTTTGTGAGAGCAGCTAGAAATTCGCGGTCTGCTGACGCAGCTCACCCTTTCATAGCCAAAACTCATAGTAAGGACGCACGGATGTCCTTAGGGTGCCCTTGCGTCCTTGCCTCTGCGGCCCGTCCTTCGCGGTTTTCACTCGCTAGCTCTTCAGGGTGTTGGCGGTCCGCCGCCCAAAAAGTGCCAAGTTCGGCGTCCAACGCCCTCGCGTCCTTATTGCCCGTCCTTGCGATCGATTTTGACTGTAGGACATCGAAGCATTGGCTCGCAAGTGCTCTTGTCTGATTGTCCCCTTCCGTCCTCCTCCTCCTCCTCGTCCGTCGTCCTCCTCCTCCTGCTCCTCCTCCTGCTCGTCGTCCTCCTCGTCGTCCTCCTCCTCCTCCTCCTCCTCCCTCCTCTCCGCAATCACGCAATCTGAATACTACTCTCCTCTCTCCCCCGACTCTGTCCGGAGAATGTCCCGCCCACTCCGTCTTTTTGTTTTTGTGTTTTGATTTTGGTTCTTCCTGATGTATTTTTTCAATCCAGTCGTTTCTGGTTCTTCGAAAGCGCCCACATCGGGCAGGCACGGTTGCGGAGGACTTAGAGCCTGCATTCTGGACAGGCCTTGTCTTCTCGTAGGCGGGTTACATACCATCCAAGTCATCCGGTGCCATGCCACGGCACGCAATGCGATGCTGTGTTGTGCACCGCTGTGCGATGCCATGCTTTTCGTTGCTTTGCTTTGTGATGCGCTTCACTACGAAATGCCACACCAATCCATGACATGCTATGCTCTGCCGTACTCTTCGACGCCATGCGTTTCCATACATCGCGTACCCTCTTGGGATCATTGCCCTGCTCGATATCTGACGGTGTGAACATATAGGAGATCTACGCCATGGTAAAAGGATGGGAGGGAGGGATAGAACGTTGGATGTGACGCTAGCGCACTTAGCGTGTCCTCTTCTCCTCCTCCTCCTCTTCCTCCTTTTTTCTCTTTCTCCTCCTCCACCTCCCTTCTTCTCCTCCTCCTCCTCCTCCCCCTCCTCCTCCCCCTCCTCCTCTTCCCTCTTTCTCCTCCTCCGCCTCCCTCCTCCTCCTCCTCCGCCTCCTCCTCATCCTCCTCTTCCTCCTCCTCTTCCTCCTCCTCCTCCTCCTCCTCCGCCTTCATTATTCTCCTCCTCCTTTTCCCTATCCGCCCGCCCCGGGACGAGGCAGCGACGAGGCGGGGAGGGCCGATGGCCCGCGGCCGAGCGCGCGGAGGGCCGGGGGGCGCGGAGGTACCCGCGGCCCGCGTCATCGGCAAGGGGGGCGCGAGCCTGAAGGCGCGGGGCGCCTCCGCCGATCGTCTTCGCCGTCGTCGTCGTCGTCCTCCTCCTCCTCCTCCTCCTCCTCCTCCTCAGGGGAGGAGGAGGAGGAGGAAGAGGAGGAGGAGGAGGAGGAGGAGGAGGAGGAGGAGGGAGGTAGGGGGATGAGGAGAAGGGAGGACAGGGAGGGAGGGAGGGAGGGTGGGAGTGAAGGATGTGTGAGCTTCCCCGGCCCGCCGGCCCAAAGTGTGTGTGTGTGTGAGTGTGTGAAGGGGGGACACAGAAAGAGAGAACAACTATGTGTGTGTGAGTGTGTGTGAAGGAGGGACACAGAAAGAGAGAACAACTACCTTCGTCGTCTCCGTGGTCCTCCTTCCTCCTCCCAGACGTCCGTCCTCCTCCGTCCTCCCGGAGTGACATGAGTTGTTGTGCTTTCACCACTATCCTTTTTGAGGGCCTCAGGACCTCCCAGTGTACACCCGCCCGCCCCGCAGGGCGCGCGTCTTTGGGCGCTTCGGCCGGCGTCTGCGCCTACGTTTGTATCGCCCCCAGCTTTTCTTTGGACCGCAGACTAGACACCAGTGCCGATCCTTGCCAGGCCTTTCCTTCTGGAGGATGGAAACAGGTACGGACAGAAAGGGTGACGAAGACCGACAGCAGGTTCTCCCCATTTTGAACAGGATTCGCTGTCGCTGTCGCCGCGGATGTCACAAAAAGTCGCCTGCCAAGCAGCAGGAGCTGTCGGTTTTGGCCAGCGTTTGCTGTTCGGAATCGTGCCCATTTTCCGTACCCACCTCGGGCGTTCAAATTTTGGTCCCAGGACTGGGATATACGTATGTTCTCTTGGCTTGGCCAGGAGGGCGTGTGCATTGATCCTGTCCGAGGCGGGGATTCATCCGTAACCACCGCCTGGATGATCGACCTTCGATTCGGGCTCTGGGGGGCAAACTTATCCAGATCTACAGCCCGCCGCCAAGGCCTCCGAATATCGATCCCCGAGGCGGTGGTTGTATACATCCCCGCCCCATATCCCGGGCCCGGGGGGCGCCTGGCCAGGATCGGCATCAGTGTATCGTCGGCGTCTCCCGATCGTCCTCCCTTTGCAGGCCTCGGGTTGCGCGCACAGTCCCCCAGGTAGTTCCGGCTGGCCTCAGCAGGCCCCCCCCTGCTAGTCCAGGGGCGGTCCCGGCACCCCCACCTTGGGGCGCGGAGCGCCCCAGGGGCGCCGCCGGGGGCGGCGCCGTGGCGTTGAGGCTGCCCTGGGCTACTCTGGGGGCTAGTTGATCGAGGCCAGCCCAGCCCTACCGGAGGGGGGGGGGGTCTGTGCGCAACCCGAGGCCTCACTGCACGAGCCCTCCTCGTCCTGTCAGCCTGCGGGGTGATCGTATTCCCCGCGGGGCGGCGCGGCAACCGCAGGCCATCCGGGAGAGCAGCAGGGCGGACGTGCGCGTGCTGCAGAAGGAGCTGCCGCGCGAGATGCAGGCCAGCCGGCCGCAATTTCACCGCGGAGGGAGTGAGGGAGAGGGCGGACGAGGGGGAGGAGGAGGAGGAGGAGGAGGAGGAGGAGGAGGAGGAGGAGGAGGAGGAGGAGGAGGAGGAGGAGGAGGAGGAGGAGGAGGAGGAGGAGGAGGAGGACGAGGAGGAGGAGGAGGAGGAGGAGGAGGAGGAGGAGGAAGAGGAGGAGGAGGAGGAGGAGGAGGCGGAGGAGGCGGAGGGGGCGGAGGAGGAGGCGGAGGAGGAGGAGGAAGAGGAGGAGGCGGAGAAGGAGAAGGGGGGAGGGGGTCCAGGGCAACGACAGGGGGGGATAGGCATAGGGGGGGATGCATCGACCCCCAATCGCCCATTCATCGCCGATAGGGGCACGATAGCCCAGCCCCGCCCAGGAACGTGTGGATTCGCTCTCGGGGGCCATCGCCAATTCCACGGTCGATGTTTCTCCCCCTATGCCAGTCCCTTCTTATCGTTGCCACCGCATTGGAGCGCTCGAGTGTATCCTTGCAGTTGGCTGCTCCCCCTTTCGTCCCCCCCTCGCGGCTGCCCCACCGCGAGTCGTGCAGCGCGGTTCCCGGTGAACGTTGCACGCCCTGCTGCCGCTGAGCTGGTCCCGCCGCGCCCGTCTCCATCATCCGCAGCCTGCCCGACTCCGTCGCGTTGCTGCTCGCGTGGCCGTGACGCCAGAAAGTTGTGTCACCCTGCGATTTCCAGCGAGGATCCTCTGGGGCTTGTTCAAAGGTCGCGCGCCTCGCCTCTGGGAAGCGGCCCAGCGGTCACGAAGTGCGGAGCGCGAGGCGATGCTTGGCATAAGCGTTGCAGATGCCAGGGAGGGCAGGGGCGGACAGATCGTGCCCCCCCGCCCCCCTCGGCACGTGGGGCGGATGAGCGCCAGGGAAGGTCGTCACCCCCGCTGGCAGCCCCGATGCGACCATCCGTCGCAGGAGGCGCGCCAGCCCCTGGCGCGGTGCGCCGACGTGGCGACGCGGGCCCCTGCGCTCCTTACGGCTCTCAGGGTGTGTGCTGGGCACCAAGGCAGCGAGCGGCACACCTGGCGCAAAAGAGCGCACGGGGTGGAACATCGACAGACCTTCCTCTCCTCTTCCCCTCCTGTTCTCTCCCTCTCCTGCTGTTCCGCCTCCCCAGTTGCCCAAGACTTCTTGAGGAACGTGGCGAGTCCTACTGCAACTGATTCTGCTGCACCAAGGCCAGGCATGCCATGCTCCTCTTGATGTGATTTTCGGCACCGGCACCGCCGCCGAGCTTCTGGATTGGGCCGTCCTGCAAGGCTTCTTCTGGCGCCTGCCCTGTGCTCTGTAGCTAACGCCAGAGGCGGGCTCACTATATGATCGTTCCCCGAAGAGTGCCTGCACCAATCACCGAGCGCGTTCCATTACTCGCAAAGTGCCTCCTCGCAAACGTCCGGAAAATCACATGTCTTCATCAATGTAATGGATCGTAAGGCCCTCGCGGCGGATCCAGGCCATTTGCGAGGAGTTACCTTGCGAGTAGTGGAGCGCGCTTGTCCAGCTAAGGGCTTCGTGTTCCGCGGGTTTTCCCCTGGTCGTCGTCTTGTGGCCGCCTCGTGGCCGCCTTGCGTGCGCTGGCTGGGTTCCCACTGGGTTCTCGCCCGGCCGTCGCCCGCTGGCCGCCCCGAGGCCGCCTCGTGCGCCGGCTGGGCTCCCTGGTTTCTGTTCGCCCGGTCACCGCCTGTCACCGCATGGTTCGGGTGTTGCCAGAAGTGCTCCTGGCCCAAGTTGTCCCAAGGATTTTCAAGGAGGCCCCCATGACCTCCGGAGCACCCCTCACGAGGCCCAGGGGGGCCCCAGGGGCTCCAAGATTTTTGGCAGCCCCCGAAGTGTGGGCGCCTGCCTTGTGCGGTTGGCCAGGCTTGTCTGGGTTTTCTGCCCGTGGCCGCCTCGCGGCGGCCTACGCCCAATGTATTATTCCTTCCTGGGGCAGAATCAGATTGCGCCCCATGCCGAGGCATGAATTATCGCCCCCCGCGTATTTTTTACCACTATCTATTCTGCGCTATCCTTTATCCGGAATATCGAACAGTGCAATCCCGGACAAACCTGTATCGACACCCCATTTTTGTGGAATAGTGCACGGGGCGTACACGCGTTGATCTAAAAAGTGCGCTTTGTATGAATCGCTATCAAATCGTACCATGCGGGCCTCATGCGCGCACGCGCAGTACGAAATCCTTCAACAGCCATGCGTTTTCGAAGCATTTCAATATGGAGCTCTTCAAACACATAGGTAAACACATGTTTTGTCGTCAGTGCATTTATGCCTGAATTCTGTGCGCGAGAAACCGATGAGGTTTTTTGCCATTCAGTCAAACCCGAGGATGGGATTCATCCATGACCACCGCTTGGGGCATCGATCTTCGCGGACCTCCACGGGCGGTGGATATGGATATATTCGGGCCTTCGGGGGCATATATATATATATATATATATACACATGTATACTATATATATGTAGATGTGCATATATATATATGTATATATATATGTATATATATATATGTATATATATATATATCCATGTATATCCATATTCACCGCCCGCTGGGGCACCAGGACGTCGTTTCCCAGGCGGTGGCTATGGATACATCCCCGCCTCGCCTAAATCGAGCCCATCCGGGCCACATCTGCGCGCGCGTGTCAAACAAAAATCCAACAGTCATCGCGCACCTGCCGGCCCTGTCGAAGGATACCAGGCGGGCCACGCGCGCGCCTCCGCGCGTGCACGTCGAACGCTTCCAGACCAGTGGTTTCTTGACCGTTTCAACACAGATGTCGCCAAACGCACATGAGAGCCCAATGGCTTTTCAGTGAGAAGTCCTTCGGGAATGTGCTCCCAACCATCCTGTGGTGTTGGGTCCTCGTTTTGGAGAGCGTGCCCCGCGTCCTCGCTCCCTCCTCTTCCTCCCCCTCCCCCTCTGCTCCCCCACTTTGGCACACCCCTCACACGCTTCGTGGTCCCATAAGGAGCTCCACCAAAGGCCCAGCTGCCAGCGCTCGCATGCGCCCAACGCACTCATTTTGGCACACTCCTCACACGCTGTGTGGCCCCATAGGGAGCCCCACCGAAGGCCCAGATGCCAGCGCTCGCATGCGCCCACCGCATCAATTTTGGCACACCCCTCACACGTTTTGTGGCCCCATAGGGAGCCCCACCGAAGGCCCACATGCCAGCGCTCGCATGCGCCCACCGCAACCTTTTTGGTACACTCCTCACGCTTTCTGTGGCCCCATACGGAGCTCCACCGAAGGCCCACATGCCAGCGCTCGCATGCGCCCACCGCACCCATTTTGGCGCACCCCTCACACGTTTCGTGGCCCCATAGGGAGTTCCACCGAAGGCCCACATGCCAGCGCTCGCATGCGCCCACCGCGCAAATGTTGGGACACCCCTTGATCGTTTCTTGGCCCCATAGGGAGCCCCGCCGAAGGCCCAGATGCCAGCGCTCGCATGCGCCCACCGCATCAATTTTGGCACACCCCTCACACGTTTTGTGGCCCCATAGGTAACCCCACTGAAGGCACACATGCCAGCGCTCGCATGCGCCCACCGCGCCCATGTTGGGACACCCCTCGCACGTTTCGTGGCCCCATAGGGAGCTCCACCGAAGGCCCACATGCCAGCGCTCGCATGCGTCCACCGCACCCATTCTGGCACGCCCTTCACGCGTATCGTGTCCCCAAAGGGGGCTCCACCGGATGCGGCGCATACAACGGTCGTTCACGTCACATAGTTCATATCACATAGTTCACGCCACATAGCTCACGCAACGTAGCTTACACCACATATCAGGCACAACATATCCTACGCGACATAGCTCACACCGCGACGGGGCCGTCTGTCACTGTTTGAGGGTCCACTCTGGCGAGCATCTTTACATTGTTTGTTTTATGTGTGCATGGTGAGACAAAATCAACAGAGGCTGCACCACACACGCAACTCGTGAGTGCAACATCCTACTTTTCGTGGTCCATTCCGGCACTTTTGGGTGCTGCTGGTTGATCGGGAGCAGCGGCAGTCCCAGCGGCTGTCGCGCGCCCGCGCGCCGCGGGAGGCTCGGGAGGACCGCGTGGTGGTCGTCGAGGCCGCGGACGCCGCCGCGGTGAGGGCGGGGATCATCGGGGTGCTGGAGCGCGTCTTCGATCGCTCTGGCTGGGCCAGGGGACGAGGCATGGCGGGAGACAGGCATCAGGAGAAAGAGGGTACGTAGTGCAGAGCATCAGGGGAGGGCGAGTCGAGACAACGGCAGTTGGCCTTCGGCGAGCCCCCTCGTCGCCACGGCTGGACGCAGCTCGGAAACGTGGTGCGTTTTGGACCCCTGGAGGGGTCTGGGTACCGATCTTTAGCTGCCGTTGTCCCAACTCGCCCTGCTCCGACAGCAGAAGCAGCACAGGGGTGAGGGGGCGAAGCTGGGGATGGGTAGGAAGAGGAGTACCGTGGTCCACCAAAGACTGTGCCAGCAGAAGCCCAGTAGCTCAGCGTTGAGCAGATGGGAGTGGCGCTAAGTCGCCCACGTACTATACTTAGGCTGGTACCCACGGGACGGCGGCATAAACTCGTTCAATGAGTAGTTTTGCCGCCGTCGGGGTGCGCGCCTTGGAGGCCTTTCGTGATGGCGGCCTCCTGCCACTTGTGGGAACCCCCCTTCTCCGCGGGGACAGGGCATTCGGCGGCTAGCCCAACCGTGCGCTCGCTGCTGGTGGTGACGCATGCGTAACGCACGAGGATCGGGATGGGTCCGCGCAGGACACGCTCGTGGCCCAGCTCGACGAACTTTGGCATGGGCCCGCCGCCCTTCGGGGACCTCCGGTGCCTGGGCTCGTTCGGTCCGCGCAAGCCCTGAGCTCTTACCCGGGCTCACAGGCTCACACTCTGGACGGCCGACAAACCAACTCTTCACATATCATCTTTGGAGCCAGACCAGGTCGGCTCGCGCCTCTCAGGTCTCCGCTTCATGCGCGGACTCCGCAGGACTGACTCCGTTCTTGCCGCTGCATTGCAATTGCGACAACGCCAGCCTTGAACATCGGGTTGACGCCAGAACTCGAGAGCATCCACACTCAAGGCAAGCAAACACACGAAGCGGCGCGGGTTCAGGCACAGAGGACGGCTGGCTCAGCGCCTTGCCCCTTTCCGCAGCTGATCGACCTGACAAGCCCTCCGCGTCCACAGCTGATGCCCACTGGACCTTGCAGTAACGAGCGCAGCGACCTGATCTGGGAAGCCCGCCGCGTCCACAGCCGAGGCCCAGTGGAGCTTGCAGAAACGATCGAAGCAGACACATCCTCTTTGCCGAGACTCGCGAAGTAAGCAGCCCACTGGTTGCCCGGCCAGCCCACGAAGTCGCAGCCCTGCTCTACTGCCCTGTAAATGATTTGATTGTGGTTGAACCTCCGCCACAAGCCAGCGTTCTCCGCCTTGGGCCGCCCATGATGGCGACCCCATACAACCGCCTCCTTCGCGAATGACACGTGGCTTGTCGCGATGGTGGGCAGTACCGTCGCGACCTTCACGACCTGCACGGCCGCCCACCTCTCGGCGTACTGAGCACCCTGCCAGGCACCTTGCCAGGCACGCAGCCGTACTGGCCATGGACGACACCCCATCCTCGTCGAGCTCGGCGATGGCCCACCCCGTCCTCTGGCACTCGGGGAAGGCACAGGCCGCCGCCGCGCCGTCGGTGCAGATCCTGCGGCCCCAGGCGGTGCCTTCCTCTCGATCTCGGCGCCGCCGGTCGCTCGCCTCGCCATCGGCAGCCGACCAGCCCTCGGCGGTCGCCCATCTCCGGCAGCCGGCGCCCGTGCTCTGCGTGGCGGTCCTGGGCCGCCCGGCGGGCCGAGGAGGACCCCGTGCGGCCGTTCTCGCCTGCGTGGGCCTTGGCCCGGGCTCGGCAGCGTCTCCGAGTCCTTGCCCCCCTGCGGTGGCCGAGGTGCGGGTGCGGCGGGCGTCGGCAGGGGCCGTGCGGACGCAGGCTGGCGGGAGGTCTGGGTTCGGGGCCCGTGCAGCCTGAGCGCGGGCACCGTCCCCGTCGGGACCAGGTCTCACCTCGGCGCCCGTGCAGAGGCGAGGGGGGCAGCCTCAGAAGCGCAAGCCGTAGCCGCCGTCAGCAGGCAGCTGCCATCGTGCCTCTCCTCAGGCGGCTGCTGCCGCTGCTTGCCGCGTTGGCAGTCGTCGATGTCAGCTGTGGGGGCCTCAAGGTCGACGCACGCTGCGAACACCCCGTCGTCGATGCAAGCTGTGGGGGCCTTAGCGTCAACGCGTGCTGTGGGAACCCTGCCGTCGACGAAAGCGGTGAGGGGGGAGCGGGAGCGGCACGTTTTTCACCATGTCCTACTGCCCGATGCAGGGCTGCAGGAACCCGGCGGTCTCCTCCACGAGCCCCTCCCGCAGGCGGACCCGGCGGCCCTCCGAAGGGACTCGCAGAGGCGAGCCCGCAGCAGGCTTCAGTCCCGCTCTCCAACACCTCCGGTGACAGCTCACAGTCAGGCTCTTCGGCACCGCTGGCACTGAAGGAGGACTCGGCAGCACGTGGACACACTTGCGGTAACCGTAGCACATCTCCCTCTAAGGCGCCAGCTTTGGGCCTGCTCCCGATGGCGAAGGTGGAGGAGGAGGTAGTGGGGGGGTGCAGGAGCAGGGTAGAGCGGAGGTGCAGGGATGACTGTCAGGCAGTCGATTGGTCCACTCGGCCCGCTCGCCTCAAGACCATGGGCACCGCGCCCATGCCCGAGGCCCAGCATATGAGTTAAATGAAGAGGACATGATGAAGAGGAGGAGACGTAGGAGGAGGAGGAGGAGGAGGAGGAGGAGGAGGAGGAGGAGGAGGAGGAGGAGGAGGAGGAGGAGGAGGAGGAGCGGTACGTTGACGATGAGGAGTAAGAGCAGGACTTTGAGCAAGAGGAGGAAGATGAATGCGAGTTCCACGCCCACGTCCCCCCGAAAGAAAAGGCATCAGCATTCACAAGGTGTCGGGGTGCACAAGGAACCCTAGACGGGGACAGGGAGAGGGAGAGAGAAAAAGAGGCTCATGCCTACAGCGGCTCGACAAACATCAACGCAGTTTGTTTCTACGGATTTCGGCTGGCGAGGGCAGTTTCTGGGCCCCGGACAGTTAACACGTGTCGCAGGATGAAACGCCATCTGCACGAACACATCGGCTTCGTGAAGGTCTCGGGAACGAGGGGGAGAACTATACTTACACACACATATATATATATATATATACATATGGGAGATCCCGGCCCCCGCGCCCCGGGCCGGAACCTCCCTTGTATATGCGTGGGTCCCTCCCCTGGCGGCGTCCCCAGGGGCTCCGAGCCGGCCCCAAGAAGGCCGAGGAGGCCCCCAAGTGGTCCCAGAGGGCCCCGAGACGCCGAAAGATCGCTCCAAGACGCCCACGATGATCCCAAGACGGCTTCAGTGGCCTCCAAAACGCGGCTAGCGGTCTCCAAGAGGTCTTCCCAAGAGGGTCCCAAGAGGCAAAACAGGCCCAACAATGTCAATACACGGCCCAGAAGCCTTCCAATATGTATGTATGTATATATAGATGTGTGTATATATACATATATATATATATGGGTGTGTAGGTTTATATGCGTATGTATGTATGTATGCATGCATGTATGCATGCATGTATGTATGTATGTATGTAGGTATGTATATATGTACGTATGCATGCATGCATGCATGCATGCATGCATGTATGTATGTATGTATGTATGTATGTGTGGATGTATGCATGTACGTGTGTATGTATGTATGTATGCATGCCTGCATGCATGCATGTATGTATGTATGTACGTACGTACGTACGTACGTATGTCGTATGTATGTATGTATGTCTGTCTGTCTGTCTGTCTGGATGTATGTATGTATGTATGTATGTATGTATGTATGCATGCATGTACGTCTGTGTGTATGTATGTATGTATGTATGTATGTATGTATGTATGTATGTATGTATGTATGTATGTATGTATGTATGTATGTATGTATGTATGTATGTATGTATGTATATGTGTAGGTATGTATGCATGTATGCATGTATGTGTGTATGTATGTGTGTATGTATGTATGTATGTATGTATGTATGTATGCATGTATGTATGTATGTGTATGTATGCATGCATGCATGCATGCATGCATGCATGCATGGATGGATGGATGAATGGATGGATGGATGGATGGATGGATGTACGTATGTATGTATGTATGTATGTATGTATGTATGTATGTATGCATGTATGCATGTATGTATGTATGTATGTATGTATGTATGTATGTATCTATTTCTCTTTCTCTCTCTCTCTATATATATATGTATAGGGGAGGGGGTCCCGGGCCCCCCGAAGTGCACTGATTTGTCTTCTGGCCGTTTCGGGCCCGGCGGGGGGCGGCAAACAACGTCAAAGGGGGCGAGCGACGTCCACGAGGGCGCATTGATGGCCCAAGAGCGCTCCAAGAGAGCCCAAGACCGCACAAGAGCGTTCCAAAATTGGTCCAACATGGCTTTGAAGACAGCCTAAGAGGGCTTCAAGATGGCCACGATGCCCTCAAGGGTTCCCACGAGGCATTCGGGAGGCGAACCAAGTAGGCTTCCTCAATGGTTTTTGACGGTTGTTCGTGTTCTCGTTGTTTCGTGCCTCCCACGGTCCAAGACAGCCCATGAGACCCCAGAAACCAGCTCAAGACGGCCCACGAGGCACCCAAAGAGGGCGCCACGACGGCGCAGTAGAGAGCCCCAAGACGGCCCAACGAGTGCCCCAAGGCGGCCCCAGAGGCGCCCAAGATCGCCCCAAGAGGGCCCTAAGAGGGGCCCAAGAGGGGGAACACGAACCGACAATTCGAGCCTTCCGCCCCAGTAGGCCGCCAGGAGGCCCCCAAGAGGCCCCCAAGAGAGACCAGGAGGCCCCCTAGAGGCCCCCTAGAGGCTCCACGAGGCCCCACAGGAGCCCCAAAAGACGCCCCACGAGCATCCGTAGCCATTTTGGCTCAAGGTGGCTCTGACTGCAGTGCGCAAGCGCTCATCATAGTTGCCCATCACCATGCAGACCCCGCGACCAGGCCCCTGGGGCCTGAGGCTGCCCACGTTTCCCAAACTCCCCCCTCCCCCCGCGGTGCCCACTGTTTCCCTCGGGGTCCTTCGGGGGGC